CTTCTGCTTTGCGATGAGATGAGATTCAGGTTTTTTTTTCCTGTTTTATAAAATATTTATACAAACTTCATTTTAACAACTCTACCTATCTACTAATGTAAATTAGTCAAGATAATCCCCTACTAATTTGAAATGATTAACGATTGTGACCAACCAAAAGTGATTGAAAATTCTAAAAACACGCAAGTTTTTTTGGAACTCCACTTGAGGATGGTTTCTACAAGCGTTTCACAGATACGAGTGATTAGTTATTAATCACGCCTATCATTTGCTAACGCCGGTAACTTACTTCGTTTGCTAGCTCGTAGATAGAGGTGCCAGGAGACGATCCTGCACTGGGCTTTGTATATCTGTCTATCACTGATTCAACAGCCTCTCAGGTGGCAACATATCATTGAACTTGAAATTGGTTCCCCCTTTTTCTGCTCCCTTTAAAACATAACAACCCGTTCATACCCTGGTTATTTTGAGAGACAAAACGCATACTTCAGTCGTACAAGTTTAATCAAACGTCTAATTGGCAACATTTCTCTATTCTACCTTTCTAAGGGGTTGATCGAATTCACAAGATAATAGTAATTCTAATTCTTTTATTTCTAGTTTCGCATGTTCTGCTAAGTGGTTCATTCAAACGTTTCTCATTGGATACCCATCACTGAACGTTCTCATCAAGCATGTGCGAGTACAGAGAAAATTGACCTAAGCTGTTAAGAGTTTTTACACCTGAAGTCCGTTCCGACTATTATGGCTGTTCATTGTCTGTAATTTCTTGATAAAGTCTTTGTTACGACATCTCCCTATTTGCGTGATTTATGGAGCCCTATGTCGTCAAAATGCCTCAATATTACATGAATGCATAATTCATACTCCGGGTTTCACCTAGTCATTCAAAACCAAAACTTTGCGTGCTATGAGTCTCTTCCGCCTCTGCCTGTTCGTCTACCTTTAGGCCAAAAAGTTTCTTTCTGCTTCCTAGTTTTTTAATGAGTTTGAACAGTTCTGAACAAACCGATTTTGCATAAAGTTCACTGGATTAGGACCGACATCCACTACATCTATTAACATCTAATTTTATCGAAAAGATATGGAAGAACAACCATAATGAGGGGCAAACGATCACAATAAATGGGATTCTGTCAACCGGCGAAGCGTCAGCAAGAATAAACGAGATGTATTAAGAAAACACAAGAAAAAGCGAAACTAGATGGAACATGGTTTCAAGAATGAAAAATTACTCGCGCTTTTGCTGGACA